TTTTTCAAATGGGTATGGGAAGGGGAACTTCAATTGAGGTAATGTATGATTAACTTCACCAAAAGTAAACAGTAATGTAAACTATTGTATGTAAATCCTTGTTTGGATTGAGCAGTGTATAAACTGTAGCAAGCAAGCAAATAAATAACTCAAATTCTTAATTCAGTCTGCGATCCTAATAGAAACAAACAATTATGATACTGAACCAATCCAAAGTGTTCATTGTTGATGCAAAAATCTGAGCAAGGGACTTATTGCTGAAACTCTTAGCCATAACATAGTCCCATCCCTATTTGTTTATTTATTTAAAACATTTATAAGAAATACGGGAAAGTACTGGAGAGGTGTTTGTCCCTCTTTAAAGTAACTTACATCGTACACTGAAGAATTAATGAAATACTGAAAACAACAACAGTCAAATAGTCCTTGTAGCATTCTTACTATTTTATTTGCTTGGGTTTTTCCCCCCTTTAATTTAAAAGTATTTATTTATTTGACTTATTTGCCATCCATCTCACCTCACCTCATCCATCTCACCTATATGTTTTCCTTCAAAACAAAAGTTTTCTTAGTGTGGTTTTTAAACCTTTTAAAGTCACAACTAAATGTTTCAATTAAAGAAAGCACAGCTCTTTTAAGATATCAATTGCTTAGAAGCATAAAAATGTGTCAAAAATGCCACACTATAGTATGAATGTAAAATTATCATGATAAAGCCTGAGAAAATGGAAGTGTCTTAGTTTTACACTTAACAGAAAACAAAGTAGATTCCAGGCAAACTATTGTGGGCATATATTATTGAGAACAGGGCCACTACTGAAAAGATCTACTCTTTATATCTCTACATAGGAGACATTCAGAACAGGACCACTGAAGACAATATTAGGACATGAAACAGAATTAAAAAGAAGGAATAACAGTTTTAATCTGCTTACTTACCATTCTGTTCCTGAAGTTTCTGAAATCATCCTCTAAGATACATTTGATCATATCTGGCTCAGATACCACTATATACATTCGACGACCAATGTAATACCTGTATTCAGTTACAAATGAACAGAAGAACGTTCCATTAGTGACTAAAGTAAGCAGGCAGTAGATATATGGACTTTCGTGAAACAGAAACACTAAGTATGGAAGGAAGTCACAAGCATACACTTTCAAATACCATAAGCTGATAAAATGTAAAAAGGATTTGTTCAATATTTGTCCAAAGTTTACTGGTCACTACAAGTATAATGTAGTAAAGAATCTAGTTTGATCTTAAGAAAAGCAATTTCATTCCTAATTTTTTTTATATGGAGTTGTACATCAATTTCTGGAAGAAAGATTTAGCGGGAGAGATAGACAACAGAGTCTCTATTCTCCCTATTCCAGGAAAGCTAAATAAAATATCAATTAGCATTTTTGCTATGTCCTCATTACAGCCACAATTGCAAAGTTTCCATGCCACACTAAAGCATGATGTGATTTGTTTCTTTTTGACTTAGCATGCTGTGAGAACCTTGTCAACTGTAATATATTCAAGCAATCTTAGATTTATACACAGGATTTAATCTAAGAAGTGAACCCAACCAGTGTGCTGCTTATTTAGATTTTATAAATAAAGGTCTACCAACAGAGTTTATAGCACAGTTCACCTTAATGTCAGTCATACTATGAACATTACTGAATAAACAAGTAGCCTACATAGTGCATAACCCAAATTCTTACAAGAATACATGCAGCTTCTATGTAACTTCCTCCTTCCAACTGTAATCTCACACTTCATCAGAAGGACAAGTTAACCATTTGAAAGACACAATGTTCTTGACAGAAACCTGAATAGCATATGCCATAATTATTTCAAAATATACAAGCAAGTGGATGTTTGATAACAGGTCTACCTGATCACCTATAATGAGGTTAACTGTAGCACTTTCTTGTGCCATGGTGATGAATTCAGTAACTTTAGAGAAAGAGACTGACAAAAAACAGCAAAGAGAAATCTTACCAAAACACAAATGAATTTTAAAATAGGGCGAGGGAAATTGAGCAAAATGTCTTTTATGCAAAGATGCCTTAATTGAGCCAATCTGCAATCAGGAAAAGATGTATGAAGAAAAAGTGAAGTATAAAGCAACCTACTACTTCCTTTCATCTCCAGCAGTAGCTCTTACCTCAAACACTTTGCTCTATTTTTTTCCACCAGCATATTTGCAGTGTATTTCACCCAGTCTTAATTGGTAAATGAAAGATGTTGAGGCATGGAAACGACTGGGGGGATGCACTGGAGCACTTAGATGGAGGACTGATGGTTTTGGCTTTTAGAGATTACTAAATACAACCTTATCATAGGTAAACATCACAAATATTTTTCCTATAATTCAAAGTAATTTCCTTTCAAATTCTTATTCAGATTGTTTCAAAGGGATTTGCAAACTGTGCTCAAAAGGACATGGTGTATAAGTTTTAATGAGTATATCCCATTTAGGCAATGGGAAGAGAACATTTGTCTCCTGCACTCCTCAAGTAAAACACCATTTTATTTCCCTTCATTTCTAATGTGTTTATGTAGTAATATTTATCGAGTTCCACATTGCCTTTCCTCTGTGGAATGCATGCATATATTTCCCCATTTCATCAACCAACAATTTCATGGTGTTGGCCAGAGTAACCAGTGATGTGTGCTGCCCCGTTCCCCTCACACACACATGCAGGTACAGCAAGAGTTCTTGTTTATTCAACTCCCCCTCCCCTAAAAAGTTTCTCAGAAAGCACCACCCGTTGCACAGGTTCAGATTCTGAACTCAGCAGGGCAAGAGTCACTAGGTAACTAAATCCCACAGGCATACACAAAGTCCTGGAAAGCAGCCCACAAGTCGAACGGGTCAGGATACATGGCATAAGCACACAAGGCATGGAACTGGGCACGTTGCTCCAGCAATGCTCAAGTCCTCGGGGTGGGATTAAGTAGGCAATGCTGGTGCAGCCCTTCAAGAGAGGCAAAGTTGCCTCCTCACGAGTAGTCTAGCTGACCGGCATTATGCCTGTCTCCTCTCTGCTCTACATGGTCTTGGAGGTGGGACTCCACTCCTCCTCTTTGTTAATGGGCAGCAGTTGCTCTCGGTCCTCGCCTGGAGCCTCCTCACCAACTTGTTACAGCTGTGGCTCGCCTCACTTAGCCTCAGACTGTCTCTCATCCGATCAACCAAGCTGAAGCTGCTCTGTAGGCTAGCACTCTCCAAGCCCCAATGGAGGCTATCACTCAACTCCACTGCTGACTCAAACTCCTCCTCCTCCTCCTCTCCTCCTCCTCCTCCTCCAAAATCGTATCTAGAGAGGTGCCCGGGCAGGGTGGATCCATGCGGTGTTGATAACAGAAGCATCCAGTGTCCAGTTACACATTGGGTTAAAAATGCAGCATGCAGCTAATACTTTCTTCACTTTTTTATTTTGAAGCTTTTTTATTCTAAAATTGAAAGAAACAGCTGACCACGCTTTAGTTTTTTACTCTGAAATAAACTAGCAAAACTGAAAATCAGACCGGGAGTCCTGTGAGTTAAATTTCCTCATTAATGCACAGTATAAAGTAGAAAACAGGAAGAACTAGAAATCTTCACACAGAAAAGCAAATATGACCTGTAATAGCTATTATAGAAGACTTGCAGAATGGGAGTTAAGATTGAAAAGAGGAAAATACAAGTGCCTTCTTGTAGTATCTTCTACATGTTCCAAAGAAACAGAAAAGGAGAATCAGAATGGCTTTGTATGGAAAAAAAAAAAGAATCCAATATGCGTGTGAAGAAATTATTGTCCTTGAATAAAAGCCTATTGAAAGTATATAGATAAGGTTAAAACCAGTAAGAAACCAAAGTGTTGCCATTGTGGGAGTTTACTACAGGCCATCTACTAGACACAGGAAGTTAACAATGCCTTTTTAAAGTTCTCAAGAGGGCAGATTAGAATGGTAATTGAAGACTTCAGCTACCTTGACATTTGCTAGAAAACTCATTTAGGTGTGGGAGATAGAGCAGAATTCCGATATGTTATAAATTTCATCTTTCAGAAAATTCATTTTTTTCAGAAAAGGGAAGAAATACAGAGGTCAACTATTCCTGACCTAATACTGACTAACAGAGAGGAATTGGTCAATGGCCTGAAGGTGTGAGGCAGCTTTACAGAAAGTGACCACCTCATGAAAGGTATCTAAGGAATGAAAGATGGGAGAAGTCAGTCAGGTACTTTGGATTTCAGGAAAGCTGTTTTTAATTGATTCAGGAAAGTGGGCAGCTAATTATGGGATGAAATCCTCAAACAAATTGAAAAAAGAGCAGAAATCATGAAAAATTAGATTCTAAAAGCACAGGTATAAACAATCTCCATGAGAAGGAAGAATTGGAAAAGTTTAAAAAGCCAGTATGAATGAATTGTGAGTTCCCTTATAATCCAATAAACAAAAAAAGTGTTGTATAAAAACAGAAGCATGGGCAGATAACTAATAAGGCATATAGTAACCAGAGTCATTAGATATGGAATTAGAAAAGTTAAAGATCAAATGAGGCCAACGAGGACCATAAAATATAATAAAAAGGATTTATTTTGTATATCCAACACAAGAGTCTACAAGGTCATTGGTTTGTTGTGAAAGAAGAATAACTCAAGGGCCTACAGCTAAGATTTTTTAATGTTTATAGAATACTAAAGATATTAGAGAAGGTGTTAGAACAGATTGTCAAGCAGCACATATTCAACCATCAGAAAAAATCTTTCTTGAACAGGAAACAGAACAAAGAATGTCATGGATACTTAGATCTCAGTAATATTTTAAATCTCTCTTGGTGTCCTTGTAGAAAAAATGGATAAATGTGGGCTACATGATACTTCAGTTCATTGGATTTGCAACTGGTGGAAAAGCTTCACACAAAGTTTGCTCATAAAATGGTTTAACATTGTCCTGGAAGAATGTACTGAGGAGGGAGGCTATAGGATTCCATATTTAGGCCTGAGCCATTCAACAACTCTATAAATGATCGGGAGAATGGAAGGGTAGAGCTGGTTATCATATATATGAATGGTATCACGTTAGCAGGATTGGCTAACTCCTTAGAGGACAAAGCACTGGCCAGATGCATCAGGATGATAATCTATATCAAGTATATCATTATGAATCTGCATAGGCAAATCAAATACCTAGGCACAGTTTTGGGTAGACTTCGTTTGGAAGCACTGTGTGTGTAATGGATGTAAGAGTATTTAGTGAACCACCAGCTCAACATGGGCAGGTAGCTGATGCAGCAGCTAAAAAGCCCAATGCAATGTTGGGTTCCCTGAAGAGAACAGTATGTACAATTGATCATGTTTAACTTGCAAAGGATTAAACTAAATGGAGGCATAATTCTAAAAGAATTTGTCATGTGCAAGGACAGATGTGTTCTCTATTGAAACAGAGAGCAGGCAAAAACTTGTGGGTTCAAAATAAATTGAAAGAAGATTTAAGCTGAAGATTAGGAGGAATTCTTGATATTAATAGCTATTACACGACGGAACATGAATGGACACACACTCCTCCTACTAGAGTTTTCCAACAAAGGCTATTGCATTAAAATAATAGATCCCTGCACTAAGCAAAGAAATGGACTAAATGTTTTAAAATGTCCCTTTCAACTCATACATTCTCTATGAAAAGATATTGCCAGAAATGAAAGTTTCTTAGAAAACACTCTTTCTACTATGAAGGTGAGATTTCTTTTTTAAAAAAAGTAAAACTTGATGGAGGAAGAGAAGGGAAGGCATTTTGATTTATCATTTATGCTATCTCCAATCCAGATGATAATTCCACAATATAAAAACTGAAGCAAACATACCATTCATTCCACATACAAAGTGCAGATTAAAGCTTCACAGAATCTGAAACCCAAGTTTCACCAGTTCTAACCTTTAGGACACATTTGTGTTTATTTCTAGTTCCTGGAAGAATACATAAATGGTCATGAGACCCATGGCTTGCAACATAGCAAGAATTAGGAAAATGGACAAGCAGTACTACTGTACATA